GGGGGGGGGGTGACAATGAGTCCTAGTAACTGGAAACATTCCAGACAGATTTCTTATCTGCTTCTTGGTCCCTTCTTTCCCCAATTTGATTTTCCTCCTCTGGTTTTAGCTGAAGCACCTGTTTTTTTCCTTCCAATTCCATAGTTGGGGTAGAAGAAGGTGTACTGTTGTATCATGTTATTTTTCTTAAGCTTTCAGAATCAAACTATTCTATAGACCAATAAAACCATTTTTAATATGAGAAATGTCAGTGTTTAAGGTTCCATACTGCATGAAGAAATATCAGTGATGTACTCAGTACTGACCATTTATATAATGAAAGCACTAACTTTTCTTTATCACTAAACAATGACATCTAGAAACAACCGTGTACAACTAATAAAAGTTGTATTTGCTTGTCACTCATCAAGCCATGATTGTTACAATCCTCATGGGGATGTGTCTCTTTAGAAAAGCAGGTGTGTATGAATCCCACATACCTGGGATTTCCTTAAGGGATGGTGATGACAATAGTTGTCATTGAATTTCGAATTTTGTGAGTTTTCCTGGGCATGATAAATAGTTTTCCTGGGCTAAGATTGTTGAATCAGGAAAGGTAAAACTTTGCTGTAAAGTTTAACATGTAAATAAAGTAATTCAAGCTCTTTATGTGATTCTGGTAAAGTCATTCACTTTAGTGGGACATTTTCTTTTCAATCTTTTCATGCAGATGGGAATAAATAAGTTGGAGTGTGTAGAATGATTTAAAATCTTGGTCGTGGTTCCTTCCAGCCCCAATAACCTATCACTTAGTCCATCCAAAGGACTCCTCTTAGAGCCTCGGTTTGCAGCTCCACCAAATTTGCAAACCTGGTTGATACTACAGGATTCCCGGAAGACTGCCACTTCTCCCCTCCCAGTCACTGCTGTCTTAGCAGCATCCTGGTCCACAGCCAATGCTGTCACAGCCTCCCCACCCCTGCAGGAGCAACAGCAGATGTCCCCAGTCCCAACCTGGAACTCTGGCCCTGGGACAGCTTTTCTTAGCAGTCCTGAGACTCAGCTGTGGTTTGGACCTTCCCTGTCCTCAAGCCAGCTCTGTCAGCAGTGCCCCTATGCCAGCTACTGGACCTAATTTCAGTCCCTTCATTGCACCCCTGTCAGGCTCCCACCTCACAGGACAACTATAAACCATAAAGAAGTCAGGCTTCTTGCTTAAAGGGAGAGGGCAGTTTGCGTGGTTGGGGAGAGAATTGATATTTTTAACTGTAAGCCAGCATTAACATTTAAAGTCTTAAAGACTAGAAAAAGTAGTTGACCTCTGTCTTAGTCCATTCGGGCTGCTATAACAAAATACCTTTTAGAGACTGGGTGGCTTAGTGGCTTATAAACAATATGTGTTTATTTCTCACAGTCTAGGGGCTGAGAATTGCAAGATCAAGGTGCCTGGTGTCTGGTGATGACCCATTTCCTGTCCATAAATGTCTGTCTTTTCACTGTGTCTTTACTTGGCAGAGGGACAAGGGAGTTCTCTGCAGTTTTTTTTTATAAGGGCACTAATTCCCTTCATAGAGGCTCTACCCTCATGACCTAATCACCTCCCAAAGGTCTTACCTCCTGATACCTTCACTTGGGGCCTTAGGTTTCAACATATGAATTTTCAGGGACACATTCAGCCTGTGGTGACCTCTCCACTCTTATTCCAGCCTTTGGAATTGAGATGTGGATTACAGAGAGGGAGATGGGAAAAGCAGGAGAAAACTAAGCATGGGGTTGAGGTGAGTACAAAGTGAAACTGTGGCCCTGTGCCATTGTTCCTCAGCAACCCTGTGAACTAGGCGAGGGAACTCTTGTTAGCTCCATTTTACAGATGAAAACACAAATGATAAGAGGGTAAGTGATGTGCTCAAGCCAGTCTGCGGCAAAATCAGGTGTTGTCCCAGAAGTTCAAGTCCAAGGCTCTTTCTCTTCCCATTCTTATTCTCCTAAACCCTGTTGTGGGAATATTCTCATGAGTCTCCCATTTTAAGCTTCATATCATTCCTATGAAATAATTGTTCTGATAACTGTGAACTGGCACAATTTGCATTTTAGGCACCGAAGGCCTGAAACCCAACCCAAAGAGATGAGGAACTTCAACTTAAAACAAAGGACATTGTTGCCCTTCCAACAGTAGGACAGGACATTGTCCCATGTATTCCTGTCAACAGGTGTAAATGCATAATTATGAGTTTATTACAGAATAGTTTTTGGTAGTTTCCCAATGAAAAATCAGCGGTGCCATCACATGGCAGTAGATGCTATGCAAGACAGTGTTATTGACCACCAGTAATCACTGCACAGCCATAAAAAAGAAGGTGCTTTGTTCTTACCACACTAGTGCGTGCTAGCTCAGCAGAGGGAAGAGATATGATTCCTGCACTCATCCTCTGCATCTAGCCAGGGAATCCACTGAAACCAGAGGCTGTGTTTGACACCAGCGTGGCTGTCAGCTACTGAAGACAGACCCATCTTCAACCCACTCACCCTTCACGTGGGGCCTAAGCTACTCAGATTCCTTCAGCCCTTAGGAAGACAGGAGGCAAGCATTAGTGTCTGTTAGTATCTCCCCTAAGAGGTCAGATGAAGCAACATATGAGACTACAGAAAAGGAGGCATATCTTGACTGCAAGCAGACATCATTTCTGTTTCTCTGTCTTGAAAATATCAATGTCACAGCCAGTGCTCAGCCTCATGAGCTGAAGAGATGATCTCTGGAGCAGGCTGCCTGTATTTGCATCTGGGCTCTGTGTGGCCTTATGCATGTTACTTAAGCTTCTACACCACAGTTTTAATATCCATAATATGGGAATAATTAATAATAGCACCTCTACAAAGGGTTATTGTCAGGATTAAATTAGTTGATGTATGAGGAACACTTAGAGGAGAACCTGAGAATAAGTATAAAATCAGTGTTTTCTTTTTCTGTCTACAGCATCTTACAGCCTTGGACATGGTCCAAGCTACTTCAGTTACTTAAAACAAGGCAGCGACGGAAGTCTCTTCCAGCTGTAGGCTTCCCTGAGTCTGTGTCCAGCCTAGAATACTTCTCAAGTGTGGTCCACAGACACCAATCTTGTTAGAAATGCAAGTTCTTGGGCCCTTCCCTGCTCTTACTAAGTCAGTATCTTAGGGTGGGCTTAAAATTCTGTGATTTAACATATTCTCTAGGTGATGTTTAAAGTTGGGGAAGGATTATCTCAGAATCTTCTCTTTACTGAGAAGTTTTAAGCCAGGTGTCCATTTTCAGGAACCCCAGTGATGGAGCTGCAGTGATCAAGGTGACAGCAGGATCCTAATGTCTTCATAGATCCCTTTGACATTGGGACTAGTTGGAAGCAGAGCATTGGCAGGGATTGCTAAGGATACTTACAATAAAGCAAGTCCTGGTTGGAGCAATTCCAGAGATTTGCATTGGGCTAAGTTTTAGCCTGTTTTCATATTATTTGACCTTAGATCAGATTTCCACCTGCCATCCCATATTTGCAGTCCAAATGAGTCTATAAACTGGAGATTGTAGCTTTGTGATTCATGACCTTCAAAGATAGCTTCCAGCTGAATTTTTTTTGAAAATTTGAGTCCAGCATAAAAGAAATTCTGGGAGTTCATTATTTGGAATGAAGAGATTATCAGTATCAGGCAATAAAAATTCATCAACAATATTTACTGAGTTTTTCCAAAATTCAGGATATTACAGTAAGTAAACACTGTGATATCTAAAGAAGAGAGAAGACTAAGTGACAGACTTCAGCATGTACCTGTCTCTCTCCCACACCCATATCCCTAGTCATCTGTTCACCTCCAGCATGCTTCCCCCTGTCGGATCAACCAACACAAGTACAAAATGCAGCATTCCTAAAATGAACTTCTTTTATCTATGGGGCATGTTTCCTTTTAGTTATTTTTTGGCCAACAGTGAAATAATTATTTTTTCAGTCTCTTTTTTTCATGCTGAAAACTTTGAGGTATTAGTGAACTCAGCCTTCTGATGCATTACAAAGTCTCTTGGATCTGCTTTATAGAGTTGCTCTATTCTAGCGACACGTTCCAGTTCAGGTTCTTATCATCTCATGGCCTGGTGGCTTCAGTGACCTATTGGCTGTACGCTTGACAGACCAGCCTATTCCTTCCTCTGCACGTACCCCTATTGCCACAGCAACACCCTCCAAAGACTTTTTTCTGACCATGTTGTTCATGCCTTTGGCAAAGACCCTACTCCGCCTTTATTTTGTCCATTCTATCCCTTCCAAATATCTCTACCCAGCCTCCAGCCCTTTGCTCACTCTGCCTCCCACATTTCAAGAGAATTCCTCATATTCTTTTTGATTCCAGGAAACCGATGTGGTGTAGTCATCGCTCCGCTTCTTAGCATCCACCCCAGTCTCCCAATAATCCACTTCACCCATCGCACATCTTCCTCCCCCCTTCGTTTGCCCTCAACTCTTGTTTCAGGACCCTTGTTTCACATTCACTCCAGGCACTGCTTCTGCTGTATCTGCACTCTTATGTGTGCATTGCTTTGCAAATAGCCCCAAGGATTTTTATAAGTAGTTTTTCTTCTAGGTAGTTTACTACTGAAGACCAGAGGCAGCAAAGAATTTTCCACTTCCTTTGTTAATGCTTCACTTGGGGACCAGGCCAAAGTACAAGACTGATAACATGTTCAGCATTAAATGGGTGCTCGTGACATGTCATTCACTGTTTACAAAAAGGTTGCGGGATCCCCTGAAGACACCCAGAAGGGAAAAAGCGGTTGGGATCCTCCTAAGTGAAGCATATTTTAAGGAGCACTAATGAGACCCAATTAGAAACCTTCCTCCTGGTGTTTCATGTGAATGGTAAAAGCTAGTATGTGAAAAAATTAGGAACACTGTGGCTTTTTGGACGGTGGCACACTTCTCTTCTGCTGTGAATGCTCGCCTGGTTTGCATTACGATTTCCTTCCTTGCTGGAAAACTACATAGACTTTCTCCCTTTCTTTGGAAGAAGTGGGACCTGTTGGAAATGTGAGGCTCCAGGATTCAAATGCACTGGGCTTGGCTTGGTGCTCTGTAGTGCATTTCTTGACAAGTCTTGAAAAGACCATTGAATTCTGGTCTGTGCTTTTCTCTGCAGTATTTGGATGGGTTTCAGCTGCAGTGTTTGGCTGGATAGAATAATCGAAATAGGACTTTTTTTTCTTCTTCAGCAATCTCATGTTACCATTTCTTCTTTTACTGTTAAAATGGAATATTTTTCTACCACACAAATACTTTTGAGTGCACTAGAAGCATAGCTCTCTCACAAGCAAACAACCTGTCTTTTAAAATTACATGCAAACAGGTGAAAATATAAACTGGTAGTGCTATCCTCATGGGAAGACTGGCATTTGGGGAGTTTGCTAGAGGATACCAAGTAACACTGATTTTTTTAAAATTAAATGCAGGCATTTTAGAGGGACTTTAACTTAGTAGAAAAAATATTTTCCTGTTTTATTTCATATGATTAAAATACTATATCTAGTCATTGCTGCAACATCTCCAGCACTGTACATGTGTGGTGGGCTGGGAGGCCGATGTTCTGTGTAACAAGCTATCGGTCTCTGTACCTTTCAAAGGGCACTGGCCTTTGAATCTGCTCTGTATCTAGAATTCTAGCTTTAATTATCGGATTAGCCTGCTTTTTTTCCATTGTGATTAAGGAAGGGAGAAGCTGAAATGTGTTTATGATTGTGCAAAATACTTGAGATGGTAAGATTCCAAATGTTTTAATTTTGTTCTGGAAATGAGAGCTGGCCAATTTATAGACTTCTTCAAGCCTAGAGAAGGAAATGAATAAATCAGGGAAACAGAGTCACTGAGTGACAAGACGTAAATGGCTGTTCGTGTGGTGCACTCTGCTAAACAACGCTGGGCTTGTGCCTTCCAGGGTCCCTGCAGGTCATGAACAAAACGAGAAAGATTATGGAACATGGGGGGGCCACCTTCACCAACGCCTTTGTGACCACGCCCATGTGCTGTCCCTCCCGGTCCTCCATGCTCACGGGGAAGTATGTGCACAACCACAACGTCTACACCAACAACGAGAACTGCTCTTCACCCTCCTGGCAGGCGATGCATGAACCTCGGACCTTTGCTGTGTATCTTAACAACACTGGCTACAGAACAGGTAAAGGGTGACCTTTCTGGCCCATGACCCTTTGCTAAAATGTCTTAGACACAGGAAAACGCAGCGTGTAATGAAATATATGAAGTTCCAATAAGCTCCTAAGTGGAAGAATTTAGGCTGTTCTTTTCTGTATCAGTATTGGCCCCATCCCTCACTTTTTCACTCCAAAGGGCGTACCAATAAGAGATCCCTTAGGAGGAAGTCAGGAAGATTCTCAGTGGACATGTTCGGAAAGTGTTTTACCCATCAAAGCACCCAGCAACTGGAATTTTCCAAGACAACCTACAACAGATGAGTTTTCAGCCCATTTGCCTGCTTACCTCAACCTCCCAAATCTCAGCATCATGGCACAGCCTCAGGCTTGTCTTAGACGTTGGTAAATTTCTGTTGATTGTTTCAGTAAGAAATCATCAACTGCTCAACCCCCACCCCCAGGGTCTGGGACACAGTAGGTGATCACGATCATTTATTGAATTAATAAATCACTGAATGAATAAACAAATGATGTGTACCTTATTGATGCATTTATTTATTCATTCATAATGTAGTAAGAGTTGGAGTTTCTTTAGCTTAAGTTTTGGCCATTTTTAGGTCTCAAATGTTCACCTCCATCTTCCAAGGAAGGAAGGCAATTGCTCTACCTCCTGTCCTTGTTTAACCTACATAGGGCAAGAGGAAGGTTTGGGTTAGTTGGTCTTTTGAAAATTGGGGACCTCTCTCAAGAAAGGTCATCAACATCATGCCAGTCTTTCTAAGAAAAAAGCAATGGTCCTTCTAGTAAGGTTGCCCCCCACACCCTTCACCAAAGCTTTACTCTCCCAGCATTTAGATGCCTTCAGCATTTCTTCATGAAAAGAAACAAGAATGTTTCTAGAGGGGTCCCAGTGAAAAATAGATTTTTCAGTACCACCTAGACTTATTCATAAGAATTAATGATGTTACCATTAAGGCTTGTTGGAAATGATTTTACAGTTTCTCTATTCTGAAGATTTAAAAATAAAGGATTTCAGATAAACGTATTCTGTTAAATCTCTTCAAAAAATGAAATTAACCTTTCCACTGATCTCAGGAAACACGTGGCTATTTGCTTCTTTGCAGAGCACCCCACAGGCACTTAATCCTTGTTATTTATGGATGAAAATATTCATTGGGAATACGGCAGCATTGTCGTTCACAAACATCTCAAGATAGCCGCTCACAGAGGAAGCTCCTCCCATGTATCCCAAGGGTGTTTGCTGATGCTTAGGAAAGAAACTAGGTTACTCAGAGCGCCTCATCCAGACTGGTTCTCACATAAGTGATTTAAATTTATAGCACCTTTCATCTGAGAGCTCTAAAGCAATTTGCAAATCCATCAAGTATCCCTGTAGGGTTTATAGCCAGCAAATGTACTTGGCTCTGCTTTATGACTGAGGTCGGGATTTCAAAAATTGTGTGACCAGCTCAGTAACAAAATCAGCATTGGTCCCCTAATGCCTGGTTCCTGATTTTAACCACCCAATTTTGTTTTGTTCCTGGAAAATGTTGTATGAGATCAGGGCCTTTCAGCTCCCAGGCTCCCTATAATTTAATCCCTAGCAATGGACATGCAGCTTGAAGGGTTGGGACTCTTACCATATCCAGAGAGCTGTGGACTAAGTCCGTGATAAGGTAAGATGCTGGGTGGCTCAGAGCACCCTGCCAGGACTTAGAGCCGTCAGCTAGGGTTTGTTCATTTGTTTCAGGGCTAAACCAAGAAAGAGGGAAAAGAAGGTAAGTTCTGGAAGCGTGGTATGCAGCAATGTGACTGTAGCTGACAAAATTGTATTTTGTACTTGAGATTTGTAAAGAGGGTAGATCTTTGGTCTTCTCACCACAGAGGGAAAAATAGAAAATTGTAAAGGTGTGAGGTGATTGATATGTTCATTGGCTTGGAGGTGGTGAATATTTCACAATGGTTATATATATTGGGCCATCAGGTTGTATACCTTAAACATATACAATTTCTCATTGTCAATTATATCTCAATAAAGCTGGGTGGGTGGAAAGAAAGGGGGAGAAGGGAGAAATTAGCTACCCTACACCAGCCATTTTAGCTAAGTTTTTTCACCTAGTTCTTACAGAAACCCTGAAAGAAAGGATTTGCCCATGTTAACAGGGAAGAAACAGTTACTCAAGAGAGTTGTCTAAGAACATAGTCAGGGATAGAATGAATCCAGCACACCTTGTTCCAAAGTATTTCCTCTCCCCATTTTTGTATTTTTTTTGCCTGTGTTTCTATCATGTTTCACTCCAAAGTGCCGTACAAAGACACATAAAACATAATAGGATATAGCACAATAAGGACCCTGGCAAATGGAAACGAAGAGAAATAGTCAATGTCAAGGCAAAGGTTGGTATACAACCTGCATGCCATGGAGTTGTAGAGAAAGGCTGCATATTTGAAAATAAGCTTCCTGGTGGCAAAAGCAAAAATGGAAACACCATCCATTACAGAGCACACTGGGTCACCAAGATAAAAAACATCTCAGTTGCTTCTAAGAAGCATAGTGTATTCTGGTACTTGTTTCTATTACGCTGTGCTGTATCCACCCTACAATGAATTGCAAGAGCTTGAATAAAACTCAGAGATAACATAGTTCAATTCCCTTATTTTCAGATGAGCAAACTTAGACCCGCAAGATTAAGGTCACTTGCTGAAGTGACACATCTGATGTTCTAATGGGAAGACCAGGCGTCAGGACCTTGGTCTTCAGGGCTCTTTCCAGTGTGTTCCCCTAACTCATGGGTTAGGTCCAGGATGAAAATGCACATCATAAGGCTTTGCCCATGACAAGTGTCTGACCTTTTGTTCAGCCCAGAAGGCCTGCTTCAGGCAGTTGTCTTCTCTAAGGAAAGGAAATTTGTTCTTGGAAACTAAGACAGACTCCAAAGCCAACCTTCTCCCCAGGGGTCTAGACGCTTAGGTAATAGTGGAATTTATAGTGAGTCATCCTACAAAATAAAAAGAATTTTTTAAAGGGTAACAAGGACTTATCCAAATACTTAGTGTGGAAAATAAATTTTGCTGTGCCCATTAGTAAATCAGGAAAATTATTAATGGAAGGCTAAAATGGCAGTGATAGAGATCTGTAGAGTTTGAATTTATCTTTAATGGGAGCATATTGAAGTGTCTGAGACAATTAGGAAATACAGATGTCTTTGTGACAATAGTTATTGATCTAACCAGGGACAGTGACATGTTTGAAAATAGACAAATAAGCATATCAAGACTACAGGCACCTTAGGAAATTAAAAGAATTGGTGAGTAGGTATTAAACTAGCATAATTACTTATGAGCCACTAGACTAGTCAGAAAAGAGCCAATGTATAGAGATTTTATTGTTTTCTTAATAATGAATACATTATTTGGAACATCTAGCTGAGAACCTAAGAAAAATAATGAAGGAAACTGGAATATGTATTATACATAAATATCCATCGAGAGAAAAGCATAAAGCAGCAATTAGATTTACGAAGAACAGCTCAGAGAAGACAAATTACTAAGAGGCTTATTTTGGGAGGAATCCAGAATACATGGATTTAAATGAATCAAATTGATCCAATATTATATTTACTGTTGTATGACATGATTTTTCTTTTTCAAAACTGAGGCATATTTTTGGACTGGCTATAGCCTAAATTTTTCTACACTTACTCATGGAAAATATGAGTCCACAACAGCTTAAATGTTTGAGAAGGGGAAAATACAGTAACATGTCTATTGCATTTTATGTTCTGTCAAGTGAACTGGGAATGACATTGGATTATCTATCATAAAAATGGATATCCTGCCTGACTCTATGCTCAACATTTTTTTAGTTTAACTTCTTGTAAGGGTATAGACATGCCTGTGAAACCTGGCCTAGTTTTAGGTAAAGGTGATAATCCACGTTTCAGGGGGTAGCATCGAGTGTTAGCAAAAACCCTGAACAAAAACTGAGGACACCTGGAGTCATGTCCTAGCTCTGCCTTTCATTTGTTTTGAGAACTTGTAGAGAGGCCAGTTTTCTAACCGATAAAATGCAGAGATTGGAATAGAATGATTCCCAAGCTTTCTTTCCTGTCCAAAATTATACTGTAATTTTATTATAACCACGGTAATTATTACATTGATTCATTTAAAAATTGTAGTGATCAAATTATAATCAGAACCCATGATACATGGAATCACACATGAATTAAATTTTAGTCTTGCTAATTCAACATGTCACTGGAGTGGAAGGGGCAATATTTAATAGAGATCTGTAATAGAACTTTTTGTAGAGACTTCTTTTGTAACAGAAGATTTAGACAAATTAGTCCATTTTCCACTTTCATGCCTTTTTATATTTTAATATTTATTTATGTTACTCATAGAAAGCATATTCTCTAATATGAGATTTTTAAAGTTCACTTAAAGTAAGACAAACTATTATCTTTATTTTTATGAGTTATGATATAGATTTTTAAAAAATATATCTTTATTGATTTCAGAGAGAGGGAGGGAGAGGGAGAGAGAGAGAGAGAAACATCAATGATGAGAGAGTCGTCATTGAGCAGCTGCCCCCCGCACACCTCCAACTGGGGTTCGAGCCTGCAACCCGGGCATGTGCCCTGACCAGGAATCGAACCGTGATCTCCTGGGTCCTAGGTCAATGCTCAACCGCTGAGCCATGCAGGGCCGGGCTAGATTTTTTTTTATAAGTACATAAACATAAGACATAGCATACCACAGTATGCTATTTATTGAGCCACAGCAGACTTAAAACTGCACTAGACAGTGGGATAGGAAGAGGTACAAAATAAGATCCCCGTCTTCATTAGACTTACAGGGAAACCAGACTCATGTATACAAATTGACATAGAGGAAATCATAATTTTCACTTGGTTTAAAATTATGTATAGTGTTACTGGCTACGACCAGTGAAATCCTGTGAACCAAATCTATCAATTACGGAGAGTAAAAGCTCAGGTTAGCGTATCGTTTGTTACGTTGAGTAAGATTTAACTCCTCCACCGCATCAGAAATCTTTTGCACAGTTGCTATTCCAGACTTAAAATAAGTGCCTTTGCTTCACATCGCTCAAGGAAACTTCTCTATGTGTTATGGCATAGGTAGTCCTGGACAGAGTAGCATGGCCTAACGTCAAAAATAATTACAGTTAGCTCTTTGAGATCTTTCTCCTGGCACTTAACCCACCACCACCTTCTTAAACAGCTGTGAAGGGACATGTTCAGTGGCGTCCCAGAGAGAAAATGATACCGAAGGGCGGGCGGGTGGCGTGTTAGTGACACATCCAGAGAGCATAGCACTAAGTGAAGTTGCACGGCCAGTGCCAAAGGAGAAAACAACTTCAAACTACACGTCATACAATGGCAATGCGGGCAGGAAAGTGCAATTCACCTTCGGGAGGGAGAGGTTTAATGCATCTGGAGGGAAATCATTAGAAGGCCAGATAATCGACTGCAGAGCGCGCCAGGGGTGATTACAAATGAGTCTCAATGGCAGGACGCAACAAGAAAGGCCAGAGTCCCTCGAAGCTGCCAACACTGGGGTGTCGCTTGGTGACGCATGAGGTCCTGGTCTCTCCTGGAACCGGTGTGAGGGGTGAGGGCACATCTGGAAAACTGAGTGCATTCTTTACACTCCATTAACACAAGGACACCGAAAACCTGGAGGGAGTTCTGACGTGAATGGCCAGCGGGGAAGAGACTTGCAGAAAGAGGCTACAGGAGGGGGGGAAGGGGGGGGAGCCTGGCAGTGGGTAGGAAACAGCTTGAAGTGGCCTGGCGAGGGGGACGGTGAGGGAAGGGCTTGGCGTGGCCGCCCCGAGAGGAAAACACAGAAACTAAAACTAAGAGGAGCAGGAAAACTTTTAAAACTAATCAAGCAGGGAAATGGAAGCCAAATGGGAGAGAATGTGTTGCCACAAAATAAATCAGATGGGGAAAGAAAAATATTGTAACCTCTCGGGAAATGTTTTCAAACACACAAGCGCAGGACTCTAGGAAGAGAGAGTTCCTTGCACCGCAGAATTATGAATTATTTACAATCAGAACACAGAGCCGAAAGGGTCAGGATAGTAACAGCAGCAGTGGCAGCACTTATGTGCCAGGCACTGTGGTAAGCGCCTAACGTTTGTATTAACTCATTTCATTCTGACAACAATCCTACCACTATTACCATCTTCATGGTTTTAGGAAAGGGACCCGGAGGTAGAGAGTAAAGTAACTTGCCCATGGACACAGAGCTAAGCAAGCAGCAAGCCAGGATTGGAACCCAAGCAGGCTGGCTCTAGGGTTTATATCCCAAACCACTAGCTCTTTTACTTCTTTGAAAACAAAAGGAGAGGAAAATTGAATAAACCCCCAAGGAGGAGGCGCAGGCCAGAGGCAAGAGCTGGGCTTGAGGTTATTAAGTGGAAGTTTCTGGAAAACGGTCCCCCTCTGGAGTGACGTTGTTGGGGTGTGGTGTTGGTCAGCTGCCTGTGATTCCAAATCATGTTGCTTTTGTCGGAAAAGGAAACATCTTGTGGTTCTGTGTGAAAAGGTGGTTAGTCTCTGAAGACAGGAACCCGTCATTAGAATTCCTGCTGCACAGAGTCAGCTCAGAGGGAAATCCTGAGTCATATCTGACGTGAGAACCTCTGACACTCTGCCCTCCCCCGGCCCATCTGCTCCGGGGCCCTGGCAGAGTCCTCAGGCACTGGGCGTCTGATAAGGGACAGCTCGATTCATTCACTCATTCACAGATTCAACAGGTAAACATTCACTCAACAAATAAATAAACATCGCCTTGTTCCTCAGACTGGAGTCAACTCTACAAAAAAAATCAATCTGAGAAATATCAACTTCAGCAACTCTGAAGCTCTATTGTATGAAAATATTTAGACTAAATCAGCATTAAAATTATAATCCAAGTGAAAACAAAATTTATCAAGTCTGGAACCTGTAGAATCCCCAGAATACATGGAGGTCCATGAACCCCAGTTCAGGAAACAAAATTTATGGACCCCCTATACTATGTGCAAGGATGGGGTGAGGGTTCAGAGATGAGGCCAAGGCAATGCTTGCCCTCAAAAACCTTTCACTCTAAGAAGGGATAAGCTCACATATGAACATGACTCTACCACTAGGAAGAAAGGGAAGATGTCATTAGAACCACGGACACAAATTGCTATGGGATTGGGGCAAAGACTACAAATGAAATGGCATGTGCTCTGGCCTTGACACATAGAGAGGGAGACGCAGACAGTAGACAGTAGTTGTCGATCAAAGATGAAAGCAAGGTGAATAGCTGTCCCTGAATGACACGGAAATGACATCCAGTGGATAGGTTTACGGTGCTTTGAAACAGGTGTTTTGAGAGCAATAGCAGGGAAGCACCTGGATTCTAGGGTCCATTTTCATCTTCCCAAGCCAGTCATCGGGAACTACCTGCCCTCCTGCATTTTTTATTTTGAATAGATAGACATGCACACAGGTGACAAAAAATACATGACACACGAAAACTCTGACCATGTCCCATGAAAACAAAGTGTACTGCAGTCCCTTGGTTTAAAAAATTTGTGCTCTCTAGATATGCAAAAAGAAAGACAAGCTTCTCGGTAGTGTTTCTATGATTCACAAATCTCCAACAGTAAGTTAAAAAACGTAATTTATTACAAAGACTGAGCTTTCACTTCTCCGATGTGTGCCCAGGGGTAGCATTCCCAGCCTCACACTGGCTACTTCTCTGATTGTTGCATCAACTTAACAGAAGGGTACATTCCGCTGGTGTGCCAGTAAAACCACAAGAAGAGCTGCACCCAGAATACCATGATCATTATGGTGTTTTATTAAATTATAATCCATGTACTTGGGGCCTATTTTTATTTACTCAAAAGGAAAAATGGGTGTATGTTACTTTGCCAAAGATTGGAGTATGACACTAATGTTATCTTGGCCTCCGCCATTACCTAGTTTAACTTTTCTCTACCTTCTCTTTTTTAAGACATTATTTCATATTTATGCATTTATATATCTATTTATGATTAATCATTTCACATGAGAAAATAATCCCTTTTTTCCCATTGCAGCCTTTTTTGGAAAATACCTCAATGAATATAATGGCAGCTACATCCCTCCTGGGTGGCGAGAATGGCTTGGATTAATCAAGAATTCTCGTTTCTATAATTACACTGTTTGTCGCAATGGCATCAAAGAAAAGCATGGATTTGATTATGCAAAGGTAATTTCAGGCACTTTTACACGGCATCAATTTACTTTGTGCATAATGGGGAACAGCTATTTTCAGCAAATTAACCTATCCGCAAGATTGGCTCGCTATGTTCTCACAATGTTAGAATGAGAAATTTTAAGGTAATTTTAAACTCCAGGCAAGAAAAGACTCTCAAGGAACACTGACTTTACATAGTGATTTTTTTTTCCCCTCATTAGAACACAATCAGCCTTTGATGAAAGTATCATCAAGAAAATCATAGATGCCTCCACTGTGTCTTGTGATAATTTTTGGTTTCCCTCCCACACCCAGAGGACTTGTCCACACAATCAAATGTTCATCTTGTACTGTTTTTCTTTTCATTGGGATGAAAGTGAATTTTGTCTTCAGATTTAGATGTAAGAATAAGAGCAGACAAGTGGAATAATAAAAGGCTGGGAACCCACACCCCTCCCCTTTACTCCTGTCTGACCAAGCTTAGCTAGGAGACAAGGACACCTGTCCCATGGCAGCTCAAGTCCACAAGTGTCTCTAAAGCCATCAATCCTAGGATTTCCAAATCAGTTCATACAAACTGGAATTGACATGCCCTTGGTCCTCTAACAAATGGATCCTAGATTAGACTTTAAAATTCCCAAGGGTTCTCTGATTGCCGATGTAAATAAACAACTTTAAGATCACAGGAGTGAAGGGGGAAATATCTTTGAACCTCGCCTGCTAATTAGCCTAAAATATCATCTTCCCTCCCAGCCATACTCATCTCTTCCTCATTTACCTAAAAGAAGCAGAGAATCTGCTCTGTCTAGCACAGGTCCCTGCAAAAGAGCCACCTGCTAGAAAGGAGAAAGAGGGAACTTGATTGAATTTGGGCACTTTGCTGTCTTTATGCTTGGCCTGATTTGAGCACCAGGGACTTGGTGGGAGAAAAGGTGTAAGTCTCCTGTTTTGTACCCTTGAGAAAACAATGAATGCAAATGAATTCACGAACCTTGCTAATAGGTTTCCAGACTCATCTAAGTTGAGAACTGGTAGGTCCCTACCTTGGAGGCATATTTGAGCTGCATCTTACAAAGTGCACTGATTGTCACCACTATCATTTTTTATCTGTGGGGATGCTTTTCATGCTCCTTGTTCAAGCTATTAACCTTTCTTTCCCTGTTGTCCTAAGGAGAGCAAAGTAATCAAGATTCCCTTCCAAGACTAAATAGGCGTAACTTGCCCATTACCACAGCTGATTAAGTGTCAAAGACAACTGTGTCCAAAAAGAATATATATCTTTTTTTTAGTGAGAAAAGGGTTGATGAAACAGACACTCCCATAGAAAAAGGTGATAGCCTGTGGACTTGTCCTAACAATGACATGTGACACAGACTTCATCCCTTGGGCACTGCTTTTGCAGCTGTTGTGGTCCTTAAATCTACATGTGATTAGTCATGCCTGGAAGCCTCTGCCACTGTGAACGCTGAACGGGTACTTTCTGCAGTTTATGCTGGAGCTCCAGGCCATTGACACACACTTAGGCAGGTGGTTTAAGTTTTCATCTTTTCTTTCCTTGTCATTCCATTTCTTCCCTTCCCCTTATAGGCTTGCATCAGCCCCTGGGACTTCGGGTTAAGTCATTTTATTAACAAGTCAGGCTCTAATCCCAGCAGCTGTATCATTTTAGTTGTGCAATTAACAGAGGATAATCCGCAGGAAATCAACTGCTTCCCATATTTAGTGTTTCAAGTAAATTAATTGATAAAATGCTGCAGCTTTTTTCCATGCAACAAGATTTTGGCAAAGGCAATTATTGTATAATTCCCACAGGTGAATTTTTAATTTAAAGAAAAGACCTTTTGTTTGTTTGTGTGTGTGTGTGTGTGTGTGTGTGTGTGTTTTCTGGAACTGTGAATTTGTAGTGGGTGTGGGTGTTTCCTGCCCTTGAAGTAATTAAATTTTTGTCAATGGATTACATCAACGAAATCTGAGAATGAAATATGTATCCGGTGTTTCATGTGCCCCAGCGTTTGGGTTGCCAGATCTGATCATTCTCTTAGGCAAACAGGACTTGACTTTTTCTTTCCTAATTACTAAGTTGTGCATTACTTAAAATACATTATTTGTGTGTAACCAAGCTAGCGACCCTAGAAAGTCCCTGGCAGCTGACTTGCTACCTTGGGAAGTCCTGTGTCCCTTCCTGCTTTAGACCTTCCCTTGTCATTCAGGAAGTCACTTTTGAGGAAAGCAGTATTCAAATGTGATCTGATAAATGTCACCTTTTGTAATTTCTGTTTTGTGTCAAATGTATGTTTCAGGACTACTTCACAGACTTAATCACTAACGAGAGCATTAATTACTTCAAAATGTCTAAGAGAATGTATCCCCATAGGCCCATTATGATGGTGATCAGCCACGCTGCGCCCCACGGCCCCGAGGACTCGGCCCCACAGTTTTCAAAACTGTACCCCAATGCTTCCCAACACATGTGAGTAATACCATCGGCTCCGGGACCTGCTGAACGCGGGCCTCTCTTTGCTCCCCACCCTGCTTCTCTCCTCACATCACCTCCTTCCATGCAGCAGGAGCCCCAGCTTCTGTTGGGCCACCTCAGAACAGGCCTGAAACCAAGGGCCTTGTCTGGGTGGTTGATTAGGAATCACATTCCCAGCATTTATAAGCGGCTAAAAGGAAAGGAAGAGAAGCACGCAGAGTCAAGGGGGCGATTTTTATCAAGTGTTCCCTTCAGTTGTCTTAATATTCATGATATAGTCTAACAATAATAATTATCAAGCAGCTTGCTGTCCATAGCAGCAGAGTGGTGACCCCGGTCTGGTCCTAGAAACATGTTCATTTTCTAGGAGAAAACTGTGGCTGCTTTGCTGCAGAGTGCAATTAGGACTGTTCCAGAAAGCAGCTGGAGGGGCCTTGCCCAAGAGGTCTGCCCAGGTCACGGCTTCTTTTTGACAGGAGAGGGTGGGGAGGCACGGAGACTGGGGGGACTGGACTGAGAGCAGAGAACTGTTATGCTGAGTGGTCTCAGGAGCCAAGGGTGGAAAAGTCTGGGTGCTTTGGCAGCAAAGAACATGATTTTGTTTTTGACTCGGTTGACCCATTTTCTTCCTACCTGTTGTAATAAAGTACGGTCTTCCACACAGAGCCATTGGCTCTGGGTTTGCTGAAAGTTCCCCCCTTGGACAAGTGGTCACCACATGAGGTGATCTAAGATGTGGCTTAGGAAGTGGAGAATGGGCACAAGGAAAGTAATGGTGGGGGTGGGGCGTTAAAGCTAGAAAGGGAACGAGCAGAATATTGAGGACTTGAGTGAATTTGTATATAGCCGTAAGCAGAGTCACTGGGAGTCATTCAGTAGGTATGGCCTGATATCTGACTTGGTCATTTTTACATGGAAATAGTGTCAGTAGTTCTTTAGTTTCAGTGAACCACCTGTGAGCCTTACTAGCGATTTCATAAAGCGAAATCTACACATAGCAGAGGGAAAAGTATTCAGGCCTTAGAGGCACACAAGAGTGGGTTCCCATCTCAACTGCCCTCACTAAGTCTGGGGCAATTTCTTTAACCTCTCAGAAGTTCCCCTGTCTCATCTGTAAAATGGGGACAGTACTAGCACCTTGAAGCAATGTCATGAATGGAAATCAAGAGAAGCAATCTAGCCGAAGTCCCCAAATAGGGCCTGAGACATGGAAGTCACTTCATTGATGTTAGTTCTGGTTGATTCTTTCTGTTAAGATGAACCACGTAACACTGCTCTTTCTTGTTTTATCTTTTTACTTGGTTCAACTTAATGTTTAGGGGAAGCAGCTAGAGAAATGACAGGTTGATACTTGCCTATTGTGACTTGACAAGTCTCTTGACACGCTAAGACTCACATTGGGATGCGTCTCCCGCACCTGGCCATTCTGAAAACGTGGACAGGATACACCAAGATAGCTGTGTTATTTCCTCCAGGCACAAATGTGTGCTATGGGCAGTTTGGAGAACAATCTTAGCCACAGAAAATGAAAATTCATATAGTTGTTTGAGTGACTGAGCTTCTATTTTCTGCGAAGCTGTGGGTGTTGGTGCCCCTAGAAAGTGGAGATGCACAGTCTCCCCACAGGCCTCAGAGCCTGGGCTTGCTGGCGTCTTTGTTGTAAAGGTCTCCTGGCTGCTGCTGAAGAGAGTCAATGTGCAGCTCTTGTCACTGTGAGTGACAGCACAGGTTCACAGTTCAGTCCTCAGACAAAAGGAGTGAGATAAATGGAAGACAAGCTGCCATTTGTGGCACACAGAGCTCCTGAATGGCCGGTGTCCTTAGCGAGCACATTAGCAACACATTCGAGAGAAGGGATGGAAGCTAAGTACTCTGCAGAAATATCTGGCAGGCCCAGCGAAACAGCAAGAAGCTGCAGACTCACCCCCACTGCGGGGACCTGAGAGATATGGACGCTTTCCTTAGGTCACCTTCCTTGGTGGTCAAGCCTTATTGAGAGGCCTTTCATCCGGCTTTGGGTTATGGCTACGTGACCCTCTCAGCCCGGAGTGAATGTATCATGTTTCCACGGTGCTCGCCGTTCCCAACAAAGGAAGGAAGCCAGGCCAACAGTGGCTTGTTGGCTTTACACACCGAGGCTAGAGGTTATGCCCACCAACTAAGAACGAGAGCGGATTACCAGCCACTTGTGACAAAGGCGCTGTTTAATCAGACGATCGCCCAGCCGCTCCGGGCCTCAGACATCTGAGGGTGCTGCCCAAATAATAATACACAAAACCATCCTTATCGCAAAGTCCTTCGCTATAGCTAAGACCCTGTCGTACTTTTCAGTAAGTTACCTCTCCAGTAGCCTCAGAGTAATGCTGTCTCCTCACTCTGGCTCTGACAAAACTTCTTTCTCCTGGCCTCAGTGATGTCATGATATGCACCTATGACAGGGGGACTCCACTGACCTACCGGATGACTCGGTGGGAAGATGCCGAGCTCCCATATCACCTTCCTGCCAGTGATGCCCCTATCAGGTTAAAATACTATTTTCTGTTTTAGTTGCACTGCTCTTTCTTCCCATACCTGGGAATATGTCACTGTGTGAGCATACACAGGTTCAAGAGAAATCTAAAATCTCTGTAGGACAATCCATGTCCACTAACATGCAAGAATCATTCTGAAGGTGGAGCTTTCGGGTAAACACGGTATGTTAGGTGGAAAACTGTCTCTGTGTGAGCCTCCAGAGAAACACCTTTGTTATCTAAAGTTGGAAAGACATGTCTTGCCTTAAAAAGAAGTTGCACATTCTTACTTCATTTCTTCCACAAATACATAAAGGGAAATTCTTTCGAAGATGAGAGAATTTTTAATTCTCTATAAAATTTTCTGATTTGGGCAGAACTAAATGCCCCCTTTCCTGTGTTCCACTCTGTTCTTCTATCTTTCCTGCTCATCCAGTCCCCTAAAGTCCAATTGCACAACTCCAGGGGGCAGCAGTCACACAAAATACCATGTAAACGGTGCCCTGGAGTGATGGAAGGCAGCTCTGTCCTGAAGGCAGGATGAACTGTCTCATCTCTACCTCACATTGTTTAGCAAATGAATAAAGGTGTTAACCCCTCCAACTAGCTGACATTAAAACATTTTTAAATAATATAAAAATAGTTAAATAATTGTTTTTATGAATTAAAAGGATACCTAAAGATAGTATAATTCCATAAATTTTTAGATTAAAAAAATGAAGACTTAAAGTCTTTTTTTTAATAATAATAAAAAAATACACCAAAATGGCTTTGCCCAGGTCACATAAATAGATAGGGGCAAAGCTGGAGCCAAAACTGGATTCTCTTAGATCCAAGTAATCTACCCACCAGACCTGCTCAGTACCCATCAAAGTCACAATTAGTATTAGAAGTGGTTCCTATGTAGGTATTGGCAAAATTCTAATCGGCGTTTGCAACATTGTTAGAAGACTCTTTAAATTAGCTTGATGATATAGCTATCATCAAGATCATTTGGTGTTATTCTGCATGTGTTCAATTTTACCTAAGTAAAGACATTTGAACTCATGTGGGGAATATCTCCACAAAGTCAATTAAGTAAGTTCAATTTTAGTGAAAGCTGAGATCGTGTGGCTTGGGGGATTAAGTATAGAATTTCCAATTTAATGCTTTGAGTGTGTGCCTTAAATCTGTGCAACTGGCTTATTCTGGGAACTGAGACCTATTTCATTTCTCAGGGAATGACGGTTCTGCTACCAATACCCTTTAAGAGTTAGACCATTAGGGTTTTTGTTGTTGTTTGAGACTAAATAACAAATGAAGAAAACACATGTTCAACTGTAACACACTAGAAATATATTTATTTTCACTGGTGACAACAAAGGCCACCAGCGGTAAGAATGAACTGCTAAATTCTTTGCATTTCCCCAAGTATGGATCTAATCTACCACACATGCATTTCTTGAAACTAGTTCTTTGCTCGTAAGAATTATTCTCCTAAAAATATCCACCCATCAAAAAGAAGGGTGACAATATTCTCAGAATTCTTATTCCTGTTACGTCAATAAGCAATACGGGAAAGAGATTCAAAGGCCAAAGAGAATTGGCACTGGTGAAGGTTGAACTTACAAATGCAGTGGGCTACAGGATCTGTGCTCTACTGGGCTGAGCAATAAAGTCCAACGAGTAATGACTAAAGATAAACAATGTGCAGGGAAGCTCGCCGGGAAAAGTTAACACTGCCAAGTACTGGAATAGTCTATTGAGGGCTATAGGTATGTTTTCTTGAGAGAGTAAGGTCTGGAGTGCGCAGTTCGGGGCAAAATTTGTACCTGAAGAGACAACAGAAAGTCTCACGAGCCCAGGCACATGTGACTGTAACTCACACGGATGTTTGTTTTTCTTTTTCCTCTTTATTTTCAGGGAAGCAACAGAAACTCAAAAACAACAAACTGGTCCTTTGTCCTCTGAATGTCAAAGCACATAGGCAGTGTTACCTACCTTCCTGCTGATGCATCCAGGATGCCTTGCAGAGACAGATCATATTCTGTATTTGCAACAAAAGTAGACGCTCAGCATCTGGTGGGAGGTATCTGAATGGGAAGCAGAATCTGCTAATGTTTTAAATCAGGATGAAGGCTGAGGATTTCAGGACTTACTTTTTCATAGAAAGAAATGTGTGTATCAGTTCTCCTTTTGATGACTGGGATTTTGAAGCGCTTCCTATGGACTGTGGTCATTGTGACATCATGGAAGGAGCACTGGCCTCACCACATATTTTCTGTCCACTTCACTTTCTCGTTTGTAAAATGGGACTAAGATGCCCTGCCTGCCCCTCAGGGTTGCTACAACAATCAAATAAGCTAGACAATGAGCTCTTTCCCAGGTACCCGTAAGTGTGGGTATGATGTGGTTCTCTCAGTCACTGAAATCCCTTTAACCCTCACAAGAACTCTTAGAAGTTGTTATACCCATTATATAGATAAGGAAACAGAGGCTTAGAGGGAAAAGTTGCCCAGGATCACACACTAGTAAGTAACAGGGCGAGGATGAGAACTGGGGTCTGATTTCAAAACATTCTGGAACCATTGTATATGCAGTTTTCCACTTTTCCTTAAAACAATTCCCTGCTTCTTTCATTGGCTTGTGTTCCAGCTGACCGCTCCAGTGGGTTTGAATAATTATAAGTCAGTTCTTAGTTAGGGAAACAATCCTTAATTATCACTGGGGGAACAGAAGGCTGCATCTTCCAGGAATTTGGCAGACCCCAGCAGGAGGCAACCACAGGCCTTTGGCAAAAGATCGCTTTTCAACAACATTGTCAATTTCAGTGACCCCTGACCTTCCACCTGCAGGTCCCTGAACAGCTGCTGTGCTGTGGGAAGCAGTGGCAGTCTGTCTTCCTTTAAAAGGCAAATGCATACCCCCTCTCCGCCCCCTGCTGGGATCCCACCTGGGATTTCAGCCCCAGAGCTGGGGGTCATCTCCCACATCCAGAATTTAAGAGGGGGAAAAAAAGGCAGGGAGTACAGCTTTGACAACTGACCTGAACTCTCCCTTTTAATATAAGCCAGGTTTAACATATGTCATTCTGTAAATCCGGGAGTCCAATTTGAGGCTTGTAATTTGCTGTTCCTCCAAGTGAGGTGGAGCCTTGCCAAGCACATCAAGGTAACCGGTGGAAGATATAATTTGCCCACTGTGAGCCCGAGTTTCAGTTCCCTATTGTAATTTTTATTTGTGTTGAGGTTTTGCGGTTTTAAAAAAGTCAGCTAGATTTATTTTAAAATTAAGGCGAACCAACATCAAAGGCAGTCAGAGGAGGATGTTTAGGTATTATGAAGAAACCCTGTGTAATCTTTATAGCCGTGTTCTCTTTTCCAGGGTACGTATCAGTAAATGGTTTGGGACCTTTCACGGCCAACTTGCTATGTTTCTCTGACCTCAACCTACCCCCACGGGTGAAAATCCCTTTTCAATGGGGTTTAGAAGCCCCCTCTCTCCTCCTCAGCCACTTAATCTAATCCTGTTTGTAACTCGACGTGCTGCGTGGAGAATAAGAAACTCAGGCTGACGTCCTTTCCTACCACACAAGCTCCTGAGATACAAGTCTGATTCAGATACGAGGAACCCTTTCAGGCAAAACGTGGGACCATTTGGTTCATGAGCCTTTTGCTTGGTAAAAGAGAAGAGATTTATATTGGAAGTTTCTCGTAAGAAGAATGGCAGGTGATAGCTGAAGAGTTTGTTTGTTTTTTAATGCTACAGGATTTTTTCAACCCAGTATATTTATATACTTATATACTTATATATTTTATATACTTATATAAAATATGTCTGTTTACTGGCTTATGTAGGAAACTCATGCTTCCTCTGTTCTAGGCACTGTTAAGTGATAGAGGTAAGTAGGTACATAGAATATAGATATATAAATACAGGCAGGCAGACAGATAAAGTTGTTCCTCCAAAGAGCTTTTTAAGAGAGGTGTTTTTATCCCCATTTACAGGGGAGCAAATTGAGCCACACCAGCTTCTCTCTCTGTACAAGTCTGTGTCTTTAAAGGGGAGTTGATTTTACACTTCTGAGCATCAGTTGTACAGTGTCTTCTGTGCTCGGTGTTATCTTGGCTTTTGAGTTGTTGGAGGTCTGCAGGTTAACCAGCATCCATGCAGAACATGAGGTTCGTGTTTCGTTCCAAGAAGGCCAGTGGTACCAAAGCAGCATTCTCAACTCTCAAAAGAGGGGTTCTGCAAATCCACTGGCAGACGAAAATGTAAATGACAAGTGGCATTTATACAGCTCAGTGTGCCTGGAAATGGCCCAGGCCACAAAAGTGGGCTTGCATGACTGATGGTTTCTCTCGTCTTATAGTATAAATAATGCCACAAAGTCACCTTCAGTCATCATTATGCACAATCTTCCACTGATAGGATCCTCCCAGAACAGGTAGAGATGGTAGTCAGATTTTTCAGTCAACATCGACTGTTGCTTTTTCTGTGAGATTGGCTATTTGTGAAAGTGTGGTTCATGTGAAAAGCAATCTTGGAGGTAGGAAGCAGCCCTCGCTCCACTTTTTTTTCATTTCATTAAAGGAAATGGGCTTTGGAATTGAGTCGTGGTTCTTTACCTGCTAACTTTGTTGATCTGAAGAAATTATTTAACTTTGCTAAACCTCAGTTTTCTCAGCTGTGAAATGGGAATGATAAACGTATTTCCAGAAGAGCTGAGATAATTAAAGGAGTTAATGTACATAAAACAGCACAGTACTGGACACAAGCTAAGTTTTAGTATCAAACTGCTTCTACACGCTTCATAAAATCTAAGGAGAAGGTTCAAGTTCATTAGAGTGTGATGGAGAGGTCAAATATACACAAATAATAGTGTGAGAATTGCTGTAGCATAGATATATTCTTTGGGAATATGAGGTGGCGGCATCTACTGGTTGCAGGAGTTGGGTAAAACTTCAAAGGGAAGGTGATATATTTTGTGGGTCCCCAGTGGAAAGTATGGGGTGCCACTGAGATTTCTGCAATACATTATAGAATGCTTGAACTGACCTGCCCTAGAAAACTGGGACCCACTTCTTTGTAGTTAACAAAAATTATGCCTTGCATCTCTACTGATTTATCTATAAAATGAACAACTTCATTGGTAAGCATGTATATTGCAGAGTATACTTGGTTATAATTCCAGTAGATCCAATTAAATTAACGGTATCTATCTATATACAAGGTTAGGAATGAGAAAAACTCATACAGGCTAGATATACAGGGGTGGGCAAAGGGGATTTACAGTTGTGAGTACATCTTATTAATTAATTATCATATTATTTCCATACAAACAACTATAAACCTACTTTTGCCCACCCCATATAATTAATAATCTACAAAACACCCTAGTAAATCCAAGAGAGAAAAAATGTGTTGAAATTATGATTCATCATTCCACATATTTGTGAACACATTTAATAGCCTAATTAGCAATAAAATTTTATGAGTTAACATCACCATGAGAACATTCCCTTCTACACTACCGAGTTTTATCTGTAGATTTGTAATATTACCATAATCATTTTGTGTCTCCACACATTTTGTTCAGTGAACCCAAATGAACTTCCACTAATTAGATTTTTAGCTGCCAGTCTCGGTTTTATAAGTTTGAATCCATATACCTTCAGAGGATGTGTGCTGCTTGGGGTGGTGAAGACTTCAGATCTTCCTAAGTTCACAGAGACAAAACACTTGGGAGAGGAAAATACTTCAGCAGAGTCTCAATTATCTTTCCTAAATGATAATTTCACAACCTTTAACTTGATATATTTCTCTAAGAAACTAAAAAAATACATAATAAGACTCTTTTCTGGATATTTTCAGAACTCCTAGTTATAACTATGCACCAAATATGGATAAACACTGGATTATGCAGTACACGGGGCCCATGCTGCCCATCCACATGGAGTTTACAAACGTTCTACACCGCAAAAGGCTTCAGACTTTGATGTCAGTGGATGACTCTGTGGAAAGGGTAAGCACATGAACTTGCCTCACAGGTTTTGATCCAACTTCCCATTCTTGTCCATCCTGTTTTGTTGTTGTTGTTGTTTTGTTTAGGGGTTTTTTTTGAGAGAGAAGTGAGAAAGAAAACTTACCAGCCCTCCCTTATCTTATGCTCCCTCTGTTACCTCTCCAGGCTTGGTTCTATGCAGCCAGTAGCAGAGAGGAGATAAAAATCAAAGCAAATTAAGGGTTACATCCACAAATACCTTCAGGAATTAAGCAAATAATGTAAATAACTAAAGCAGGTCCAGTATAAGGCAATAGGGAGTGGTGAGGATTGTGGTGAACTTGAAATTAAGTGTTCCATCTAAAGCAAAGAGCAGCTACTCAGAGCCAACTAATTTTTGCCATGTAGAAATGTGAATCCAGTATTGTCAAGTCTTCTGACTTTTGAAAAGAAGCCAAAAATGCAAAAATTTTATTTGAAATTTCATGAATTTTAAAACATAGCATAAACCAAGCAAGAACTGCCTAAAGGCTAGTTCTAGCTGGATTAGGCTCAGACGCAGCCTGTTTTTAACCCTTGATACTAGCTGTAATAAGACTGATATTAAAATTTGCTTTAACAACGAATTTTTCAAAGTAAAACCTATAAGTTTGGTGGTGCAGGTTGCTTTCTGGGTGTGGTTTTTTTCTTTCCAATAGGTGAACAAAGACTTTTAAGTAGCATGGGCCCGATTCAGAAATGTTACTTTTCAACTGTATTATTGGACTTTTTTCCTCCAGGATTGTAGGCAACAAGAAAATGTGGTTAACGTTTGCATTTGTAGGTCTTATTAAAACAACTCTTGCCTTTTAAAAATAATGAGAAAAAGATTTAGGGGGAATCATTGCAATGCTGTTGCAGTCTCAAGCCATCACAATTACTTCTGACTTGTCCCTGTTCTGTGTTTCAGCTGTATAACATGCTGGTGGAAACGGGGGAGCTGGAGAACACGTATATCATTTACACCGCTGACCACGGTTACCATATTGGGCAGTTCGGACTGGTCAAGGGGAAATCCATGCCATATGATTTTGATATCCGTGTGCCTTTCTTTATTCGTGGGCCAAGTGTAGAGCCTGGATCAATGTATGTATTTCTCTGTTTGCAATGTTCAGCTGTCATGGCTCATGTGCATCTGAGATAATTCGATTACCAATCTCAGTGTCTGGTTTCCTTTCATCCAAAACAAAAAAGGGTGTATGTAGGTTGGTAATTTAGAAGACGAAAATCTACACCTCCCCCCCACCGTCGCCACATGTTAATTTAACTTAAATATACTATTTAAAGTGAAAGGAAAAATAGCTGGATCGATGATTAGTTCTCTCAAATTGACCAGAAGCCATGTCATGTGGGCCTGTGTACACAGATACGTGATATGATCATTAGTAACATCACCCTTACTTTCTTTGAATCAGAGATACACTGTCTTTTTAAAAAACATTAAGTGCCATCCATCCTCTTAGTATTTTTATTATTACTATAAAAGAACTTTTTAATTAAATTTTTAAAAGCATAATTTTTTTCAAAGAAAAGAAGCCTAAAGGACTAGAGCTGTATTCCTATTCCTATCACCTTAGACAAGCCACTGCACCTCATTGTGTCTCTCTTTTCCCATCATAAAATGGGTTTCACGTGCCCTGCCAACCACAATAGGATGTTATGTATAAAATGAGAACTTGTGCATGAAACAATTGTGGAAAGAGTGAAAGAAAAGAGTGCAAGTAGAATTCAAAAGCTGGAAGGGCCCTTACAGAGCATGTAGCCTGGACCCCTGATTTAATAATGAAGAAACTCAACAGACAGCATCGGTGCCTCTCAGAGTCCCTGATCCTGGAACTAGCAGTGTTGGGGCCCAGAACCTAGATATCTGAATCTCATCCATGTGCTGGACTCCACCACCTCTTGGGGAGAAGGTGATGGCAGTAAGAAGGGTTTCTAGGAATAATATTATTATGTCTCTTCAGATCATTGGAAACGCCTTAGGAATTATCAAATCTAATCTTTATGTTTGAAAGTCTAGGAGGCATGGATTGGATTCAACTGTAAAAACCTTGTGCCTTTCCTTAGAAGTTGATTATTTTTTTATTAAATTTATTGGGGTGACGTTGGTTAATAAGATTATATAGGTTTCAAGTGTAGATTTCTATAATACATGATCTGTCTCTTGCATTCAATCCAATATAGAAGTTGATTTTAAAGCCTTGGTTTAACAGAGAAGTTATGGGCTATTGGGTTTTAGAAGAAAGTATGCATCCTACAAAAACCAATATCAGGCCACGATTTGTGTGACAGTGTGGCCAGAGCTCAGGGGACTGGGAATCTCTCCGGTCACCCTTGAAATAGCCAGTGCTGACCACTTAGCCTCCTTGACCAAATGCAGCTCCCATCCCTAGGAGACCAGGTGAAAGGGGAGAGGCTCTGAAGGCCAATGCAATAAGTCATGGTGTGGAGAAAACCACCCTACTTGCCACCCTCCACTGGTGTTGAGTCTGGAGCATAACCATCTGTCCTGTTGCAGAGTTCCACAGATCGTTCTAAACATTGACCTGGCCCCTACGATCCTGGACATCGCTGGGCTCGACCCACCTCCTGATGTGGATGGCAAGTCTGTCCTCAAACTTCTGGACCTGGAAAAGCCAGGGAACAGGTGTGTCAATTTTGCTTCCTACAGCCACCCCCAAAAGCACACTGGCTCCCAGAGCCAGCCAGCAGCTGAAGGAGGTAGAAGCCAAATAGCTTTCTTTGCCCACATGGATCACGCTGAGCTGAGAATTTCTTGGTTGTTTGTATATAGCTTATTGATGGAGACACAGTCATGGTCTGCGGGAAGTGAGAGGTGTTCCTTTAAATAAACTGTTAACACAGATCCGTTTGGAAAGACGTCCAGATGCCAACTGTAAATATTATTATTTTGCTTGCAGGTTTCGAACAAACAAAAAGGCCAAAATTTGGCGTGATACATTCCTCGTGGAAAGAGGGTAATTATTGGTTCCTGGGGTGCTTCTGGGAACCAGTCCTAGTGGGTAGCTCTCCCTGCTGGGTATTTTTCCCCTTATTTTGGTTTATTAAGCCCACAGATTTCATAAGTTTAGTATCAAAATTGAATGGTTTGTTAGTCATTCTTTGCTGGCCAGCATCATATGATTGTTGCATCAGAATTGTAAAGAATAAATTCTCATAAGATGGGACCAAAGCCCTTACATGGCTGTGGATTTTACTGCCGCTTTCTCAGCTTTGGTTCCTAATTGGACCAGTCAATGGACTTTCTTAACCATCCTTCCCAAGTCCTACCTGGCACTTTTCCTGACGCGCCATTCTTAGTTTTAAATACACAAACACTTGAGATTGTGATTATTTCCATAGTTGCTTCTGGATTTCCCCTTTAGATTTATAATGCTCAATGTCTTTGTTTTTCTCCATATACCCATTGAGAGAAAGCATTTCTATAATTGCTTCTTAACAAAAAATGTTGAGCCTGCTATGAAGCTAAACATATATGTCCAACGTTTTGAAATTAATGCTTTGAGGTGAAATGATTCCTCCTACCCTGACCTTTCATCTTCATAGTACCCATCTCATCACAAGGGACTCATAAAATGTTGAACTCCTGTGGTCAGAGCCTTAGCATCTATTTCTTGCTGTTTGAAGATTGTGGAGTTATGTGACAGGGAAGAGAAAGAACAGGCAGGTCGTAGGGAGGGTAACTCAGATCACTTCTCACATAAGAAGCTTTTCCCTTTCTGTGAAAGGAAATTTCTACGTAAGAAAGAAGAATCCAACAAGAACATTCAACAGTCAAATCATTTGCCCAAATACGAGAGGGTCAAAGAACTATGCCAGCAGGCCAGGTACCAGACAGCCTGTGAACAACCTGGGCAGGTGAGTGACTCAGCTTTTCTTCACCAGCACGCACGTGCTTCTCCATTTCTAATTTAAAAGATTTTCAACATATAATGTACATTTACATATAAACAAACTTGTCATAGCAGTCATGGAGTGCTCACAGTGACACCTCTCCCCTGACTGAGTATTGTCTAACTGGCCCAAGCGAGGCCTCCTCATCACTGCTTGGGCTTCCTCCAGTTAAAAGAGATGGTGCTCTCGGAGAGAGTTCTAGCTATCCACCCAATTAGCCAGCCCCCATTCAAGATACCAGACACATGAAGTGGTAGCCCGGTTAGAAAGATCAGAGACTTGGGGCTCTTTTTAACTGGTCATCAAGATGGGTTTGAAAAGGTGCTTAGTCAAGTTCATGGGTAGATGTTGAGCCCCAACAGACGTGATGGGGTCTTCCTATGCTGGACTAAAGTGAGACGTCATCTAACTCAGAGAGGGGGCCAAACTCTGTGACCTCAAATATGTCATTAGAATGAGCCATCTTCATTAATGAAAATATTAGTATAGAATTCAGGGCTACCCAGAGCACCGACTATATCAATAAGAACTAAAGAAATATCAGGCGATGAATTAACACAGACCTGTTTTCAAGGAAAGTGAAAACATACGAACACAATCTATTTTAAGCACTCTTGATTAAAGTCTCTGCTAGCTCAGAGAAATGCCATGTCACAATGAGAGGAAGTGAACTTCTGCCTAAGACACTCACTGCAACTTAGACCAAAATCAGAGGAAAGAGAAAAATAACTAACACTTATTGAGCATTTGTCTTACGTGAGGCACTGTGCAACGGGGTTTTCTGTGCACTAGCTCGATTTAATCGTCACCTCTGCGGAGTGAGGCAGGCATTGGCCTCACCGTTTTACCAACAGGCAGCTGGTGAGTGGCAGAGGCAGAATCCAAATGAGTTGCCTCATTCAAAAACTCAGGCCACGTGCTGCCCTCCAAGGTAAGTTACATTAACGAGGTGAGGAGGGTGCAAATCTTCCATAAATCCCTTTTTAAAAAACCTCTCTGACCTCTAGCTACCCACACAATTAGCCAGCACCAGTTCAAGGTATCAGACACATGAAACGAGGAGCCCAGTTGTTAGTAAGACGGCCTCATTCATTGCACTCTTTTTATTTATACGGTACCCAGCTTATTGAAGAGACTTTCATAATAAACAACTTGATCTTCCTGCTCTCTGTATTTCCTCGTGCCTTTTGTGCACAGGGGTTCCTTGGAAACAGAAAAGGGTGAGTGCAGGGCTGTTGAAGGAAGGGATAACACCAGGCCTTCGCGGTATTCTAGTAAGTCTTAATTTTCAAGTGTTTAGTGGAGAAGCTTAGACCTATTCATTATATTTTAATTTGAAGTCCTCAAACCCGTCTTATGGAAGCTCTAAGTATTATTATGACTGAAACCTCGGCATTGTTTTGTAGCTCTAGGATGACTTCTGTGAGCCAGCCTCAATGGGCTAATTTACTTCTATTCGGTAGCTGGACATGTTTGGTGTTAAATATATCTCGTGCAAATGGGTGACCCTGTGACTATTTTAGCCAGGTGGCCAGCACTGTTGCCATTTGAGAATAAGGTACACAGCCTACCTTTCAGGATACAGTTTTGCAAACCTCTCCGTAGGGCTTGTGCTGAAATTTGAATATATGCTCTAAAGGACGAATGGAGCATTAACGCGTTCCTGATACCTTGACCCAAGCTCTTCACACATGCGCTGGGTGCTATGCTAAAAACTTCACTTTGCTCCTTCATATTTTTCTAAGCTTGTTTTGCCTCCATGAGATGCCTCGATATCTGGCTGCCGGGAATTTTCCTCTGCTGCTTCATTTCTGTGTTAAGCAGTTTGCATTTAGATTCTGTCACATGAATATATGAGCACTTTAGCAGTGACCTCTTTTAGAAGGGCCTGAAGTCATGGAATAAGAAATTCGACTATGCCCCCGAAGGTGATATCTTTAAGAGTCAGAACTTCAAGAAAAAGTGGAGCGTCCTCAAGGCGATCGTTGAACCTGTAGGTCATACCTGACATAGCTTAGTTGTGTTCTATGGAATCTTGATATTTTGGCCTTTTTTCTCCCCTCTCCTGGCTACTTTGAAGATTACCTTTTTAGTTACAATATCACTGACCTTTAAAAAGGGAAGAAAAAGGTTCAGAATAATGAGATTGTATTGTTCAGGATCAAGGCGACAGTGAAGGCTAGAACTAACTTGCTTGGAATCTCCTCTCTTGACACTGATTTCACACCTGGGCTGTGCCCTGCGTCTCTTCATTTAACTGAGGGTAACTGCCTTCATTCAAAGGCAACACAATCTTTTCTTTGATTTGACCCTCCATGGGGTGTAGAGGAAAAATCAGTAATATTAACCCCGTTCTCTTTACTCTTAATCCCCGAAGAGATAATGTGTGCCCTCACCCACTCCCCTCAGCGCCTGGTCGCCTAAGAATCGTGTGGTAGGATCAATGTGGATGCATGAAGTAAAGTAAATTTTAAAAAGACAAATATTGAAATCACAAGGTTTGGGTTAGAATATTGGCATCGACTGTTTTTTAGTGGTGCGTTCTTGGACCAGACACTTCATTTCTCCTGAGTCTCAGGTTTTCTATCTCTAAAATGAAGAAAATTAATCTGTCTTAGGAGATAAAGTCTTATCATACGTGTACAGGGCTGGATGAACTGTAAAGCAGTGTGCGAATGGTGAGTGGTGGGTTGTGCCAGGCCGTCTTACCTGTCGTCTTCATTCCTAGGAAACCAGCAGGGAATGGAAACGGGCTGGAATCCCAGACATTTGGCATCCCTTCTCCACTGTGTGAGCAGAACAGCCAGCAGGGACTAAATGAGACAGTGTGGACATGTGTGCACATTACTTCTATGTTTCTGAATTAATATGAGGCCAAGTGTGAATTCCCAGCACTCTCTCAGCTGGAATTACACCCTTAGCACATCTATGTACAGACACTCTACACACACATTACACACACGCACACACACACACACTTGCAAATCTCAACTTCTGTCTGAGAAGACTGGCTCAACAGAGAACATAGACCTGTAATGCTCCATTCTGGCTGCACATCAGAATCACGTGGGGAACTTTTGAAAATATTGATGCACAACCTCAACCCAGCCAGACCAATCAGATCACAAGGTCCAGAAGTGAGGCCAAGGCATCAGCATTTTTCAAAAGGGTTAAGAACCACAGGCCCAGAATTAAAGAATGCCAGAGGTGCAGGGGCCTTAGAAATCTTCTAGTTAAAGACCTAAGCTACAAACCCAAAGTCAGAACCTATGCCTGTTCACTCCATGTTCCATCTTTTCTTCCTCAGAACATGCAAAAATGTAAGATAGTAGATGTTCCCTTGGAAATTATAAATGGCATTTGCCTGGCTAAAGGGATGGGTATAGGGCCCACTCCCAGCATCTAAGACAGTGGTTCTCAACCATGCGTCAGAATCACAAGGCACCTTTGGAAACGCTGCTCTTCAAGTCCTACTCCGGACAACTTAAATCAGAACCTCTGCGGATGGGACCAGGCATCGGTGGTGGTTGTTTCTGGTTTTGTTTTTGTTGTTCAAGCTCCTGAGTGATTCCTAGGAGCAGCCAAGATTGACAATCATTCATGTAGAGTAAGCGTCATTTTTCCTTTTTCTTCTAGGTATTGACTCTTTAATTGGAGTAAAAAAAAAAATCCCCTACCCATTCAGTTCTGAAGTACATTTTACATATGTCCTGTCACTTAAGAGGAAAACTTGTTTTGTTTTCATACAGCGAATGCCATGTCCTCTTGGGGAGTTGTCGAGTGCCAGCATCTTTGCGATGCAGTTCGCTTGTCTATCCTTGTGTTAATATAAAATCAAAGATTTGTAAACTTCTGAAAGGATCCCAGCATCAAGCAAAGAGATAAGAATGTAGCTTGTTGAGTGTAAGCTGGTTTAGCTCCAGTATTAATGTTCTCAACCAAAAATTATCCCTCAGACCTTCTGTGACCAGCTGCAGAGCAGAGATGAAAAGAAGTTTACCAGCAAGATCTGGCTAGAATTGTTAGTTTGACAGAAATTTACGGCCTGTTTCCAGAAATTCGCTGAGTGCTGGTTAAAATCCCAGCGTGGCTCCCAGACATTTCCCCGGGTTCTCCTGATTCCGGAGGGCCCGGTCGGGAGGACTGAGCCCCAGTGCCATCCCCTGGCTGAACTCTTGTCTGCACCCAGCCCAGTGTGGACAGCTCAGCTTCTAAACCCTGGCTCCTCCCCTCCTCCACCTGCACCAAACAGTCCTGTGTCTACTTAGATGGTTCGGCTTCTGTGCATTTTCCAAAATCCAAACCGCAGCGTTAAACATCAAACCATATGTAATGATGCTCCCAACAAGTCAGAGACAAACGTAAGGACACGCACTACTGCTAAACCCCATCCTGCGGCCCCACTTTATTTGATTTATGCTACTGTATCTTGTCTCCCACGACTCCCTAACAGCCTGCTCGGTCAGGTTTCCCCCCTTCCTGACTCTTAAATACAGCTTTCTCACTCTGCCTTCCAAATGCTGGCCCCTCGAGTGAGTCCCCTCAACCAAGGCCCCTCAACCTGACGCCTCATGCTCTGTCCCTAACCTTTCTCCTTTGTGATTGGTGCCCTGGTCAAAGTGCCTTAGGATTGCATGGGATCCACCACTTTCTTGGTATGTGACATGAGCAAGTTACTTAACCTAACTCTGCCTCAGTTTCTTTATCTGTAAAATGGGCATAATAATAGTACCTTCTTCAGAGGACTGCTGCAAAGGTTAGATCTGTTAAATATATTAGACATCTGGAACAGTATCTGGCATATTGCAAACTCTCAACCAATGCTGGCTATCTAATATTGGCCAAGGTCAATTTACCTATTTTACTTTTCCCTGAACTGCAAAAATCACCCTTCTTCCAACAGTCCAACACTGACTTTTACAAATAATTATCCAGACTACGACGTAGAGGAAGAAACGTTCTCTCTTCTGCTTCTCCTTCCTTTCCACTTTTCCTCCCCATCCTTTCTCAGAGGAAACAGAAGAGAAATCGCCTTGGAGCGAGTGACTCTATTTCATATTTGTGAAAATATTTGACAATGGCCGGAGCTAAGTATCAGTTTGAACAAGGACATTTATATGGTCTTCTTACATTCCCCAGTGTTAAGAATTCTAAACACATGTCCACATGCAGGTAGCTGCTTTTCATGCTGTTGGTACTGGCCTGAAGGGTAATCGAGTTATCAGAAGATTGCTGTATGGTTGTGACATTTGAGAGAACATGATTTTACCTGCATTATGACCAAATTCACATAATAGGACTTATAACAATGGAGAAATAATCTGCATCTGTGTGTGTGTGTGTGTGTGTGTGTGTGTGTGTGAAATTCACCTTTCATTGCAGATGTACCTCAGAAAAACTTATAGCTTATTTTTTTGTTTCTTACTCATGAAAAAGGGCATGAGGTGGTATAAATAAGACTATAGAACATTCTTAAGCAAGCTGAGAAATACATGCAATTCAAAATGCAGAAACTACAATGATTACCTAGAGGTCATTCTGGAAGGAAAATAACCAGAGTTCTGTCATCACCTAATATTTTACATGGACCATTTACACCTGAAAACTATTCTATAAAATAGATATTAGGTCCATTTTAAATATGAAAACACTGAAACTCAGGTGGGGAAGCAAGTTGATCAAAGTCACACATCTCAAAAAGTGACAAATATGATTTCAAACTGAGATCCATGTGGTTCAAAGCCCCAGTCTCTCTCCACTAAATGATAATTACTATATTATACAGAGTTTACACCCAGGAAACATTAGCTTACCCAGGGATTGAATGACTATTTTTTAATTGGTTTCTTTTTTTAGAGAGAGAAAAAGGGAGAGGGAGGGCACATCGAATTTGTTGTTTCACTTATTTATGCATTCATTGGTTGATTCTTATATGTGCCCTGACCCGGGATCAAACCCAAAACCTTGGCATATCGAGAAGATGGTCTGACCAACTGAGCTACCTGGCCAGGGCCTGGATAACCATCTTTAAAGTTCAATTAATTATATTAGTACTGCTATTATATTAGTACTGTATTCATATAGGGCATCTTTTCCTCAGAACTCTGAAAACACTCAATAGTTTTTTCCCACAACATATCCTTGAGGCCAGGAGTGGCAAGTATTATTTTACCAGATGTGGAATCTAGAAGAACAAATAGATTCTGCAGTTTGCTCAAAGCCATAAAGTTAGCAGCTAAAGAAAATTAAAATTGAGGTCTTCAGATTCCTAACCTAATACTTATCTCCATTAAAAATGGCTACCTCTCATCAAGTTTATATTAGGTCACATTCTTTGAATAATAAACTGTGTAACTGTGGGGGTGTGTAATAATAATAGCAACTCCTGTGTTGAGTACCTACCCTGTGCTGATTCTTCCTGTATGTTATCACTAGTGCCTGTGACCCTGCAAAAGCTTAGATTGTCTTGCTGACTTGCTCAAAGCGATAGAGCAACGTGATAAAGCTGGTATTCAAATCCAGGCTCTGCTAGCTTGAAAGTCCAGATTTTTCTACTAAGCCAAATCCATACAGGTGTAAAATGCCATTCCCAAGTCCCAGACAAAATATAGATGATAGTCACTACTCCAATAAATTATATTCCTAGTCCAGTAAATGAATTGTTGCAGCACATTAGGTTGTTGTGAAGATTAAATGAATAAATTTGTATAAAGTGCTCTAGACCAGTATCCAGCATCAAGTAAAGAGCTCAATAGCTAATGATAATAATGATGGTGCTGATGATGTTGTTAAATTAAATTATTTGAAAGGCATTTGACATATTTCTCATTACATTCAATTCCACCATACTAGCTGCACACAGGAATCCTTGTACCAAAATAGCCAGCCTTCTCTTCTCCATCAGGTGTTATTTCCTTACAGGTATATATATGTAATCAATTAAAAATGCTAAGACATAATTACTAAATAGAGGGATTCAATCCCAAGTTCCAGTGTAGTTGGAAAGGCTAAAATAATGATAATTTAAGAAATTATTTAAATAATTTAATCTAGCACCTTACCCACAGTAGGTGTGTAGATGTATGAATGTGGCTAAATGGTTAAGTCCAAGAGGCAGAGGAAACTGGGGGTGATGTTTTCCCACCGACCAGGGAAAGAATCTTCAGAAGGAGTGAGCGGCCAGAGAAGCTGGAGACAATCGGATTTGGCAATGAACTGACTTACTGATAAACTTCAAGGGCAGGCAGAAGCGAGTCAGTGAGACATCTGTACTTCTGCAAGGGCACTTGTTTCACAAAAGCCGTTCCTGAGGCTGCCTCTAAGTCACATTAACAGGTGCCTCACCTGAGTTCCTGCCTCCATCTGACTCCTAAACCCTTCTGCAGTGCAAAATCGTCTCATTATTTTGACCATTTGAATGGCACGCGGCCTGAGTTTCAGAGCAGTTCTTTTAAAAATTCTCTTTCTTCGCCTCTCTCTGTAAACGCACTAAGTAAGATGACCACTTTAGCTGAAGCTATTTCAAGCTTTTATTGCTCAGCCATAAAAATTGTCATGATATCGAACACTAAAATGACTGTGGCAAATGTGTGGCAATTACATTTCATTACAATTCCTAGTACTCTTGCCACTAAGAAGATTTTCAAAGCCTCTAGCTAATTTCTCTATCTAATAAGGTCTAGGATTTGTTCAAAGGGTTCATGACATAGAAAGTAATTGGTATCTTTGTCCATGGCTCTTGTTTTATACAAGAATGCGGGTAGGTATATGTATGTAGTGCATGTGGGTACATGGGGCATGCATGTTTGTACATATAATGCACACATGTATGTGTATTTGATTTTGCATATACATTATCTGCTCCAAGGACAGTTCTAGACCTCAGGTGTAGTTAAATTCAGCTCTTCAGGAAGGAAACAGCCTTTCCTTTCATCTGTATCCCATAGGAAGTCAGCAGGAATTTGGCTAATGCAAAATGCAGGTTGTATTCCAAAAAGCCTAAGTCACTAAAGATTCTGCCTACGCTTTTGTGTTCTACAGGCATCTACTTGTACCCTCAGCTCTTCCAGACCAAAAAAAAAGAAAAGAAAGAGGGGGCAGAATTTTTTCAATGTATTGTGGTTATCAAAGAGGAAGGTTTTCACTGTAGTTGTGTGCGTTAAAAATTAACATTTGTGCTAAAGTTGATCAATATAAATTGGGACCACAAAAATACATAAAGCCATTATTTTTCAAGAATTAAGTTAGCCAGTTTTCTGTCTGACAGGAAGTAGAGTGCTTCATGAACTTCTCTTGGTTGGATTGTGAGCCCCCTGACTGCTTCTTTTGCTGCTGTAGGAGTTAAGTCGTCAACTCTCAGTTTTTGCACGCGTGAGGTAGAGATTACCCAGGTGGACAGATACCTCGTAAACCATTTAGATTTAAGACAGATACAGACACGCACTCAAGCACCACTGACTCCCAAACTTTATGGAGCTATAAAAGGTTACCATTTATTTTGATGACATTTTCACCAGCAAGAATTCTACAAGGCAGATAATAATTTTTTTTAAGGTTTTCTCATTGATTTTTAGAGAGAGAGGAAGGGAGTGGGAGAGAAAGAGAAACATTGATGTGAAAGTCAAACATAGATCAGCTGCCTCCCCCACACCCTCTACTGGGGATGGAGCCCCAAACCCCAATCTGTGCCCTGACCGGGAATCGAACCAGTGACCTCTTGGTGCATAGGTCGACGCTCAACCACTGAGCCACACCTGCTGGGCTCAATATTATTTTGTAGTAGTTTCAGGTGTATGGCATAGTGATTAGACAATCATAACCTTTACAGAGTGTTCCCGTGATATTTCCAGTACCCACTGGGTACCATACATAATTTTTACAATAGTATTGACTATATTTCTTATGCTGTACTTTACTGCAGCAGTCTTTTTTTTCTTTTTTCTTTTTTTTGTTAATCTTTGCTGGAGGCTATGTTTTTTCCATTGATTTTTAGAGAATGGAAGGAAGGGAGGGGGAGAGGGAGGAGAGAAACTCTGTAAAAGAGACATCAATTGGTCGTCTCCTGCTCTGTGCCAGTTGGGGCAAGGGAATCAAACCTGCAACCCAGGCACACTGCCCTTGACCGGGAATCAAACCTGTGACCCTTCAGTGGGCCTGGCTGAGGCTCTAACCCTTGAGCTCACGGGCCAGGGCCCACAGTCTCGATCAAAGACTCAGACCAGAAACCCCAGCGCCTGCTGCCCGCGCCTGTCTCGGGGAGGCTCAGGTGTCCCTTCAGGAGCAGCGGGCTCTGCGGGGTGCGCCGCGCCTGTGGCAGGGTGAGGGAGGGCGCAAAGGAGAACCGGGCACGTCTGGGCTGTGGCCGCGGGCAGCCCTGGGACGGGCTCGGGTTAAACTCATCTCTGTCCTTCTCCGGCTGGCGTTAGAAATTCAGGGGCAGAGAACAAAGCAGCCGCGTTTGCTCTTCCAGAGCAAGGGGGTCTGGGGGAAACAGCCCTGGCAGCTGGGCGCTGTGCTTGCTGAACGAAGGGCTTTTCCGCGCTTCGTTCAAGACTGTTTAGTCTGCATGCTCGGATTTATGTGTCCATTTTGGCCCCGGAGCACGGAGGTAGCTCTGCTCTCCGGTGATTCCGGGGTCACCCGCGCTCGCTGCAAGAGAGGGGGCTGGGAGCGGGCGCGGGCCCCGGGCAGCTCGCCTTCCTCCGCGCGGCTTGGCGGGGCCGCCGGCGCTTCTGGAAAGCGAGGCGCGGAGCCTAACGCGAAACACCTGGTTGGCTTTTGCAGAAGTGGCAGTGCATCGAGGACGCGTCGGGCAAGCTGCGGATTCACAAGTGCAAAGGGCCCGGCGACCTGCTCGGCGCGCGGCAGAGCGCGCGGAGCCTGTACCCGCGCGGCTTCCCCAAGGCCCGGGAGTGCCAGT